ACTGGAATCTCTCTTCCCCCTCCCGGCAACCTTGAAGCTCCATTCCGGAATCTTCCCCGCTCCGGCCTTCCATCACATCACCATCCCTGATACACGATTATCCAGCCTCTGTTTGAAAATCTTCAGTGAAGGGGAAGAAACCACTCCACACAGTAACATATTCCACTGATTGATAGCAAGCTTAAACCTCTCGTCCTTACTAGACTTTCAGAAATGCTATTGTTTGGAGACATGGATTCATACATTCATAAATTAAATAGTCTATTCATATCTGTTTTGCTTATGCTTCTTAATTTTCAATTTAAAATCTCAATTAATAGCCTATCCTCATATAATTCTGCAATAAGGTAAGGTAACACATTTTTATTTTATTCAAGATTTAATCTGATGTGATTGCTTAGAAGACACATGTGTGCATGAGAAGATCATGAATTTAATACAATATAGTCTGAAGAGTGGCATCCCCTCTCCAACTTTAAACCAGGAAGCCTGTTAGTAATTAAATTGGAGATACTAGGGAACACTAGGGATGTAAACTAGACTGGAAAGTTGAAAGTTATTCCAGAAGAAGGTGGTGCCAAACCACTTCTGTATCATTGTCATGAAACTTCAGTGTGTCCAGGTAGTTTCCAAAAGCTGAGTGTGATTCAAGGGCATCTTTACCATAATGTGATATAATGTAAATTAGCTACTGATAATTTTTACATAAAATCTGAATTTCCAAATGGATCACAAATGGAACAGCATTTTCATATTTCAGAGAACAATTTGTATCAGCACATAGATAAATATAACTTTCCATGTACAAAGTCATAAAGTAGTTAATAAAAAGATTTTTTTATTATATATATTTGCAAAACTTGTGAAGCACTCAGAAGATTTAAGTGTACATCAGTTCAAAAGTACAGGCAATGAAGCCAGATATAATCTAAAGGTGATTAATAAAATATCTTAAAGATATTTTAACTTTCTTCTTGTTTCTAAATAAATGTATATGATTTGAAAACATAAAGTATTCATCTCATACCAGAAAGCAATCATGATAAAATACAACCTTACAGAAAAAAAATCTCATAAATCCACTGGCTCTTTCTGTAAAATTATCCTGCAAAAAGAAATGTATAAAGCAATGGTCCTTAATTCCACTCTTGAACCCAGTAACTACAAATATATGAGTATGTTTTGTTGTATTTCAGGAGAAGCAGAGGTTTCTGACTGATGTCTTACATGAAGTAATGTTACTTGATGGCCTGGCGAGTTCACATCCAGTGTCACAGGACGTGCAGCAGGCCACAGACATTGATCGAGTATTTGATTGGATTGCCTATAAAAAGGTGGGAAAAGGAGAAAAGACACAAGCTGTATATTTGTGGGTTTTTCTGGCATTTATTCCAATATTTCTTTACCTCCATGTTCTGTCTTTCAGTTGATTATTTCCTCTTCCTCCATTAGGTTCTGCTAACATCCCATTCTACTGTAATCAGAATTGCAAGGAAAGAAATTCTAGGCAGAGAGCTTTCAGAATGTTTCCTCTGAGGCTTTTGAAAATAACATTATAATTACGAAGCAGTTGGGTTGAAAATGGTCATGAACACTGAAGTGACCTGAATATTATAAATCACTCAAGGTTTAATTACAGACCCATTTGCTTTTAGTATTCAAACTAATGTGCATTTGAACATACAGATAGTTATGAGTGCAACATACTTTATAGAAATTATAGTTAGTCAAATTAAATTAAGAATTGTCATTCCTGACTAAAGGTTCATGAACAATCATTTTAACTTACCGTCTTCTGAGCCTTACGAAAAAATTAATTTCTACCCTAAGGTCAGAAAGCTTTGATTCTGTATAGTCTTATATCTTATTTAAAATCTTCCAGCCAATTAATAAGTATAGTTTTATGTAGGAAGAATATCCCCATTTTGGCTATCAGAAATCAATTCAAAAGCGCAGCAAAATTGATAAAACTGGCAGGTGAGTACAAAAATTTATTGCAAAGTTATATTAACACACACACACGCACACAATGCAATATATATTAGCACAGAACTAAACATACCATATATTAAAAAAAAAAATTCCTTAGTACTAATTCCCATAATGCATAGTAAGAAGGGCAAGCCCCATGTCCAGTGCATTGCAGTAATCCAAATGGGAGATGACCAAGGCATGAGTGACCACATAGAGGGCCTCTTGCTCTCATTCTTCTTTTTTAGTACTCTGGTTCTTTATGCTTTGAGATATTTTGGGGTACTGCCTTTAAACACCACCTGGAAGCTTCAGTTGATCCGCCTGTCTGGCATTTACAAGTCAGAGCACATTATACCTGTGCTATGGGCCCTGTACTGGCTTTCTATAAGCTTCTGGGTGCAATTTAAAATGCTGGTGGCAACCAATAAGGCCCTTTTTGATAGCTTAAGATAATTGCCAAATTATAGGGAATTGTAATTTTTTTTACCTGTTTATAATTATGAGCATAACATAAGCTTCAGTGTAAAATAAAATCCTCTCTCTCTCTCTCTCTCTCTCTTTCTTTCTTCTGCTTATATCTGTTGTATTCATTTCCCAATTCTTTTAAGTGTAATGTTCATCATACTTATTTTTTATATAGTACATACTGTTTATCATGAATGTTAGTCTTGGCCCCATTAAATATTTTGAGTAAAGTAGTCCATTATTGCTGTTTTAGGATATTCTCTTGATTTTCATTTCCTTCATGCATTTTGAGAAGAAACAGGAACATTCTTGGTCCAAAGTATTTGTGAGAACAAATGTACTTATCATTTATATTTTATGCTCTCCATGGCTATGCATGTGTAAAAACGTCATGATGCAAAGCTCTGAGGGAACATTTTATCTTAGGTTTAACAGCAGAGTGCATCAATCCAAAACTCCATTTGGATGCGTATCTTTCAACCAATTTAGAAGTAGCATTCTATACTTCCAGTGATGTTAACATTATCTGTATGAAACTCATGTAAATGTACAACAATAAGTTATGTTACTAAACTATATGTTTTTGTAAGTGAATCATCATGAAAAAGAACATAGGAATGACAGAAGTTGTAAGGATGCTAGTAATTGAAAGAAAGCCTCCTTTAAATTGAACTTAATTCCTGATGACTTCATGAATACATTCATAAACTCTTCTTGGCATTTCTTGCCATTTCCTGTTTCTGGATTGCTTTTTGACTTCCCAGACTAATCCATACAAGTGCAGAGGCAAAAGTTCCCTTTTGCAAAGACTTTTCTGCATCTCAGATAAATTGATAATGGTGATGATCTTGATGAGATGATTCATTTATTGTAAGACAATAATTGTCCGGTCCCATTTAAGTTTTTTATAGTATTCTTTTGTATGGATTGCCAAAGATCCATAAAAAGTATGTTCCATTATGTCTGATTTAAGTGCCATTGGTTCTCCTACATATCATATTGCCAAACATCTAGCTATGCTTTTACAACCTTACATATGTTACATGTCAACATATATTAAGGTTTCAACCCACTTATCCAAATACCCTGACAGCATGTCACAGGCTAACAGTTATTCTGCTGGTGAAATCAGACAAGTGATGCAATCCAGCAATAAAAATAACATCATATATGTATCTCTTACTTGGGTAGTTTGTCCTTAGATGTTTATATGACGTTATTTTTATAGCTGAACACACGCTCCTACATAATGAGCATAAGGTTCAGTTTAAAGAAATGCAAGTACTAGCAGTCATGTGAAATCATCATGTATGACTATATAGAGAAGGTATCGAGATTTATAAACATCCCAACAACATTAACCAAGAAGGAAGAGATTCTAAAAGTTAACGAAGCCTGGCTTTCAGCTTTATGTCACACTAAGATAAAACAGCCCTTAATTAACCAACACCATATAGAATCTTCAGCAGTCTCACCTGAAAGAATAAGAAGCAGTAGCATATTTTAAAGACAGATCAATATAGAATTAGGTCCTTTGGAACGTCTTCAGATCAGACCAATTACAAATTCACCTGGACAAAGAAGCAATCAGAAACTGGTTTTCCAGAATTCTGGTGATATGGTCCAATTAGAGATTAGTTTTGTTACAAATAAATACAAGAGCTCAGTCAGTTCCTCCTCAGTTGCCTATGAGCACTGAGAAGTGCACTACACATCAAATTACTTTGCCTCTGAAGATGCCAGCCACAGTTGCCTGCGAAATGTCAGAATACTAGATAATAAGACAACTATCAGACCACTATTAGCCCAGAGGTTCATCACCATTGGATTTTTCAAAATTTTTGAGCTTTACAACATTGCCACCAAATACTGAAGGATGATCCAACCTGATCCTTACATTCCAACGGTTTTAGAAAATGAATGATCAGTTTTAGCAATCAATATTGAAGTAATATACCATTGATAAACATCTTGTACTAGTTTTCTCTAAGTGTAAATATCCACTATTATGAATGAGTCTTCAAATACATCTCTGTTACTCTGATTATATTAATCTCTTAGACAACTGTCAGACCACTATTCTATATTAAGAACAGAAAGAAAATTAAAAACAGTTCAAAAGTTCACCAGGAAGGCAACAATTAACATCCCCCTGGGGATGAGTGAAGGATTAGGAGCAGACATCTACATCTCAAAGACTCTACTAATTACATCTCCTATTGTCCTTCAATGAGCCTATCATGCTAGTAGGAAACAAAGCCACCCTGGAAGACTTTTATGGGGTCCCCCTAACCAACTTTTTTTAGACTGAAGAAGCTGCTTGGATAAGTAGCGAAACATCTCTACCAAAAAGAAAAGAAGTCCAGTTGCCATGACTCAACCTCAGACAATTCCACCTGGATGACTGAGAATCTTCATAGACATATGAAACGTTTTATGCCCTGTAGTTTTCAGCTTTTTGTGTCCTCCATACATGGAATTTGCACTATTCTGACATTGGTGCTACATTACTATGTTCACAGATTGTCATTCTCCCTGGACAATTGAACCAATTTTCTTCCCTTTTGGCTGCAGCACAGCTCACATTGCAAAAATGTTCAGTTTTGCAATTTACAGTGCTGGAGCTCAGCGAGACTTAGGGATGATTTATTTTCGTATTCACAGAAGCTCTTACCTCACTCTATCTCCCATCCTCTACCTCAGAGTTCTCCAGTAGATTTTATAAGCAATCTTATCAGTGAAGCCAATTTGAATGCTTTTAGTCAGTTTGTTGTGAGTTCTACAATCCCTATAACTGCCCAGTTTGATTTCCCCTGCTTATATAAGTAGCATATACCAAACCTACAATACCTCCTACCCTCTGGACTCAAATGAGTAATTTTCCTCCCACTTGCCCCCCACACATTGTGGCTCTATACTTTCCCATTGTGGCAACTCTTGGGAAAAATGCCTGGAAATGGCTGGAAATTTACAGCGTCATGCTATCCTCAGCTTTCAGTGGGGATTTATCAGCAGGATAAATTATGTCTTGATAGCTAGGCAGCTTTGCTTCATACCAACACATTTGTTATAAAATAGAGAAATGCACATTGAATGAACTGAAAATGTAGTGATGGTGGGAGTGCGGGGGAGAGAATAGCTTGCATATTTTCCCTCTCTGGATTGCACTGGTGCAAAGGGATTTTATTACTGTAGAAGGCACAATAATTCAGGGGTGAAGAATTGACAGTTTTTATATTCTTCTATTGGTTGGTTAGAATACAGCAGTGATGGGCTCAGGCCCTTCCCCAGCCTCATTGTTCTGAAGTAAACAATAGTGAAGATAATCTCACAGTCAGCTTCTGAATGCTTTGGAGGGATTGCAGATTGGAAATTGTCCATGTAGACATTGTAGGTTGATCCTGTGCCATCCCCTACCACAACACATGGAAATTATCTATGTTAATAGATGAGATGTGCAGGCCTAGAAAAATGGCAATACAGGGTATTGTGAATGTTCTGCCAAAAAAAGGAGTCCATCATAATAATGACTATTTAGACTCTACCCTCCATAAGCATAAAAGAGATTAGATATTTTCTTGATGTGATTCCAGTCAAGTTGTTCAGTTTAAGTAACTCCATATTACAGCCACGGACTATGAAATTTTGGACTGCCTAAGGCCTCACAATAAATATATACTGCTGAACCCATTGCTTGTACCTTTAATAATTGTACTGTCCTAGAGGAGTATATCCTTCACAAGATGATATATAAATATAAAATATGGACTTGTTTCCTCCAGATGTACTGTCAGATTGTATTCATGAAGTTTCCTCATCTGATCATTTCTTCAAAGATTTATTCTATCTTTAGCATGTCAGCTTCTATCCCAGAGAAGAATTGTTCAGTACTGTA